CTAACTCTCTCTTATTCTAAACATTTCCATCACACTGAATCAAAACCCCTTACCACTAAGCAATTTCCTCATTCACTTTCTCCTAACCCCTGCAAACATCAATATGTGTTTTTTCTCTCTGGACTTATCTATTCTGGATATTTCATATAAATGGAATCCTATATAATAACTAGAGGCCTGATGCACGAAATTTGTGCACTGGGGAAGGGGTTGTACCTCAGCCCAGTCTACACCCTCTCTAATCTGGGACGCCTTGGGGGTTGTCCGATCCCTGACCCCTTGGGTCTAAACCGGCAGTCAGATATCCCTCTCACAACCCAGGACCACTTGCTCCTAACCACTAACCTGCCTACCTGCCTAATGCCCCTAACTGCCCTCCCTGCCGGCCTGGTTGCCCCCAATGGCTCTCCTTTGCAGGCCTGGTCGCCCCAATTGCCCTCCCCTGCAGGCCAGTTTGGCCTGCCTAATGCCCTTAACTGCCCTCCCCTGTGATCTGGTCGCCCCCAACTCCCCTCCCTTGCAGACCTTTTTATATAGAGAGGTTGTATCTGAAAGGGTTAAAGAGAATGAAGTGGGGCAGAGGAAGCTTATTGTGCTTAGCAGATATCTTGCAGAAAGCTTGCAACCTTGAACACTGCATAGCCCAGATAACCACTAAACATCTTGCAGTGGGAGGAATGAAGGACCAGACCCTTACTTCAGCAGAACTATTTGCAGCCAGCAGAAGTTAATAAAAACTTGCCTCTCTCTTCAATCTCTGCTGATTCCTTTTTCGGACTCAGCCCACCTGTACCCAGGTGCCTGAAATAAAAGTTCTTTGGTACTTTATGGCCTCATGTCATAGTTGCACAACCCCAGTACACTCTGAACCTTTCAGTATCTTTCTCCCAAAAGCTTTCTTTCAAAATACACAAAATTGGGTAATTATTTAAATTAAACATGTAAAGCTACCACAGTTACAGTGGAGGGAATTTTAAAAATGTGTGTATGTATATTGTTTTTAGGTTTTCTAAAGGAAACTTTTCTTTTATAATCACACTAGAGGCCTGGTGCACAAAAACTTGTGCACTTGGGGGGGTTCCTCAGCCTGGCCTGTGCCCTCTTGCAGTCTGGGATCCCTCGGCGGATGTCCACCTGCTGGCTTAGGCCTGCTCCCCAGGGGATTGGGCCTAAGCTGGCAGTCAGATATCCCTCTGGCTGTCTGGGAGCCCTCGGGGGATGTTCACTTGCCAGCGGGGAGCAGTCCTAAGCTGCAGTTGGACATCCTTAGCGCTGCTGAGGAGGCGGGAGAGGCTCTCGCCATCACCACTGCTGTACTGGCAGCCATCAGCCTGGCTTGTGGCTGAGCAGAGCTCCTCCCATGTGAGAGCGCCCTGACCACAGGAGGGCAGCTTCTGCATTGAGCGTCTGCCCCCTGGTGGTCAGTGTGTGTCATAGTGACCAGTCATTCCCAGTCATTCTGCTGTTAGGGTCAATTTGCATATTACCCTTTTATTATATAGGATGTTCAAAAGATACACATATCACAAGAGTACAGCTTGATGAATTTTCAAAAATGTATAGATATTTTAAGAATGTTCTATGTTTGAGAAAACATTTCATCATTGTAGACTTGGAACTGTTTCAGCATCAAAAAGCAACCTTAGATTACTGAGATTGAAGATCAAAGAATACAAGAAATGTGTGTCCAGTAAGAAGATGGCCCAGTAAGAAAGTAGAAATTAAATCCTAGAAATACCAAGAAAAAGAAATTAAGGCCTAGCTCTTTCTATTTACAAGATACTTACTATGAGTTTTTTCTGAGTCTATGGTGTGTCTTTTTGTGTACAATGATACGCATGCTTCCATTTATTTGGCTAGAGGTAAACTTAGCCTGTGTTACCAAAACTGCTACCATGATGATGATGATGAATATTACTATTATTGCTGTCATTATTGCATTTGGCAGGTATGGGAACCTAAACGAAAAGAAAGCAGTATTTCTAGCGGACATCGAAGCCTATGGAGACGCGTTTCTTCTGCTGCCAGCGTTTTCCTTCAGGGCCAACACCTTTGCCTCTTTTAAAGTGTACAGCACACTGGAAGAGTCTAACGCAAGACAAAAGGTTATATATTTCCATCCCAAGTACCTGAGGAATCTTGCCCTCTTCTGGAGAACTAAAGGCGTGATAGAGTACCGCCTGTCCTCTGGCTTGATGATCACGAGTGTGGCCATTGAGCTGTGTGAGAACGTGAAACTGTACGGATTTTGGCCCTTCTCTAAAACTGTGCAGGACACACCTGTCAGCCATCACTACTATGACAACAGTTTGCCTAAACGTGGTTTCCATGAGATGCCCAAGGAATACAGCCAAATTCTCCAACTTCACATGAAAGGAATCCTCAAATTACAATTTAGTAAATGTGAAATAGCCTAACCGAAGTGACTTACAGTGGGAATCGTTGTAATGTAAGGCTATCGGTGAGTAACAATGTTTCTGAACACAAAAACTGGTGGTTGTAGGGTATAATAGGAGGAGCCCATACTTAGTTTGATCAAAGCTCCCCACAAAGTGTGCAACCCCAGAAACTCATTCAGTTGTTCTGGTCTTCTATTTCCCTGACTATATAATGGGGACCAGGATATCTAACTCATATTAGGAAAATATGAAAATCTTTGAAAACTCTTGGCAAACTATTTGCCTGAGGTAAGTATCCCAAGTCTGTTTCCTTTTGATAGTTATAACATTTCCACCCTCACCAGACTGATAATAAAAGGTGTGCTGGTTGAAACCCTTTCTGGAGAGAATACCTGAACTACCAGTACTCACTGAGGTTGTTTCTCTGGCTGACCTCTCATCAAAAATATCCTTCTCATCTTTCCTCCTGTCTTAGAGTGCATTTAAGAAAACTATGTACTAAAACAATAAACCCTCGACTATTCAGGAATGAAATCTTTCTCTTTGTATGCTAATGTGCCTGCTTCTGATTACATTCCCTCGTGTCATTCCCTGTGATGACTGGTATTGGTTGGATTTTAGGCCAATTCTTTTTCTCCTTTATCTATATTTTAAATCACTTTTTCTTTTGACTTCTTCCTCACTCTTAAGTATTTCCTCTCTCACTGACAGGATCTATTTCAAGGATATGAATGGTTACAATGTCCAGTTTTTCTTACCTGTTGACTTAACCATACCCTCACTTATTTAACTAATTTCTTTAAAAAATCATTGAATAGCCACTTCCTGCCAACCCTGTAACAAGCTCTGTGAGAGGGATGCAGAGGTCTTGCAGGCGGAAGCAGACACGCATGTGATCACTATGATCTGGTGTGATAAATGGTCCTGCAATAGCTATGAATAAAGAATTGTGAGGAACAGAGGCAGGAATAACTAAATCTACTTCGTATAATCTATTTCAGAGAAGAGGTGATTTCTGAATTAAACCTAGATGAGTAAGGTTTTAGCAAATGAAGATAATTCTGGGTAGAGGGAGTAGGATAAGGGAGAAAGCTGTCCCCTTGCTTCTGACTCATCAAAACTAGCACAGTTGAAGGCAGGTCATGTTCTTTGCTCAAAAAAACTGCCCCAGGAGGGTAAGATACAGACTGTGGTGGTACTGGCTTGGGCCCACATCTGTGAAATGGGAATGATACCAGCCTGGCAGATTTTTTTTTTTAATTTTATTTTTTATTACAAAGGGTATTACATATGTGTCCATTTTTTACCCCCGCCCTAGACAGTCCCCTAGCCTCCCCTATTCCCCAGAGTCTTATGTCCATTGGTTATGCTTATATGCATGCATACAAGTCCTTTGGTTGATCTCTTACCCCCCTACCTCCCGCCCCCGAACCCTCCCCGGCCTTCCCGATGCA